CATATTTTGGATTGTTCCTCTTGCTAATGAGCATACATTCCATCTTTGTATTATTGATGGTTTGTCTTTTCTTCTTGTTTTCCTGAAGTTCTATTTCTGTATTTATCATCAATATGATATCATATGAGTACCTTATATTGTTAAAATTGTGTTCACCAATAATAAATCCTGGTAGGTCATCTAGTTTTTCTCTTTTCTGCAAAGGTTAAATAAATCCAATGAAAGGATGCATCTTTGTCTTATTTCCCTTTCTATTTTTGTGCATTTACTTAATTTATTTTCTGTCTGTTTTGTGATTTGTTCCCAGCATAAGAAATTGTAGCATCCTCAGAGAACTTTTGAATTCAGTCAAGATTAATATTCATCTATTGGGAGATAGCTACAATGCAATATTCTCATCCATTTACACTTCAGTTATTGTCATAGGGTTGCAGGAGGTAAGTGCAAAAAGTGCTTTAATAGAATCATTTAAATTTGATCATCACTGTAAATAACTCAAGCTGAGGATGGACACGAAGATGTCCTCCATGACTCAAAAACTAGGAGAAAACTACACAATTACTTTCTTCATTCTCTCTGGTAAATCCAATATTTGAATGATTTGATAATTCAAATTGTTATTTCTTCTTCTTGAGTTCGTAAAACTCGACAAGATTGATTGCTTCACACAATGGTTTCTTGCCAAACTGTCTGCCTGCATGAACTACTGACTTAGAGACTTCAGTTCACTGCTCCAGTTATTGCTAAAATTAAATTTTGTCAGAGATTATTGCTTACATGATAACTCCTTATGCCATATGATAGGCAGACATACCTTTGGGTTATGTATATATATATATATATATATATATATATATATATATATATATATATATATTACTTTTCCCATTGGAGTGATGACTGCGAATAGATTGCATCCTAAAAAAGTAATATGCAGTGCTGTACACTCATTAATCTATTTCTTACTGCAGTTGAGTGACAGACACGGATTTGAGTGATTAGCAATGAGATTGTGTGCTAGAAAATGTGGAGCTTTGCATTTTGTGAGTATGACACTAGCAGACAAAGAATTAGACATGTTGATGCCTCTGCAATATGGTAAACTCCTATATATGGAAAATATTTCACTTCAGTTTTGTATGGCATATCTGTATAATTATTTATCGTATTGACTTGCAGATGACATAACAGTTGAATTCGTGGACTATGAATCAGCCAGCTAAACTTGAATAAATATTTGCCACTATTTGTATTTTATAAATGCAATTATTAAAACATGATCAACAATTGATTATGTGGCCATGGATTAAGTGTAATTGGCAAAATGCTCAGCAAACAGAAGTGACAAAGTTTTCAATAAACAATAAGAAAAGGAAGAAAAAGAACGGAAAAATAATACGAAGCAAACAATATATAATGGAAGTCAAAACCACACAAACAAATAATAATAAGGCAAAAAGCTCACAAAGAATTGTGTTTACATGCAAAAGGGATACAGTAAAGCAATTATAGTGTTCTGACTTCAGGACAAGAAAGAATAAAAATATAGGAGATGTGATCAAGAATTGACCCATTTTTATTGATTAAAAAGAAATCCTATCATGCATCTATAGGATTTGTCTAATGTTTTTAGCAGTCATTCCAATGATATTGGTACTTTAATCACCCCTCATCTAAACTGAATGGATGAGTGCATTCATTTGTCACCTGCTTTATGGGGTCAATAAATATAAACAAGGTACATTTAAATATTTACAGTTTTTTTTACTTTTTAATTCAGTTTTATTTTTATTTTTTAAATCTTTTAGATCTCCATTGTTTTTTAATATTTTCCATATCACGAAATTTTTATTTTAAATCATTTTTGTTACAGAGCTTTTTTTGTTTTATTAATATTATAAATATTTTATTAATATTATAATATTCTTTTTTACAAAAAGTAGGAAAACAAATGGAACAAAAAGAAAATGACAGAGAAAAAATGGAATGTAAAATGTTCAGGATTGTGCTCCATTTAGGGTATTAAAAATTGATATAATTTTACTCTCCTGAAAGGCTTTGTAAATAAATCACCAATATTTTGGTCCGATGGAATATAGTCCAACTTTATTGTGCCCTTAGAACTTCATTCCTTTTGAAGTGGTACTTAATATTGACATGTTTTAAACATTGATGGAAGACTAGGATTTTAGCTAGAGCTATGGCACCTTGATTGTCACAATAGGTAGTGGCTTGCCCATTTTCATTTTTTCCAAGGTTTGGGCTTCATCTGACTCATCTGACTTCATCTGTCACAAACCAAGATTCAAGATTAGCTTATACATTGAATTCTTTCTATCTTTCAATATTTGTACATATGAATACCCAAGTGATTTGAATATAAACAAAATCACATCACCAAAAATACCCAAGTATTAACTCTCAATATGAAGTCTTTATTGATGCACTTCTATAAATATATATTACAATAGATTAAGACTTTCAATATTCTTACATCTAAAAACTAATGTTCTTATATAAGACAAATATGTATGTGTAGTCTTATTACTTAATGTGTTTTTCTTTTAATATTAATTAGATATCGGCTTTTTACAGACTTCTTAAAGAAGTACTGGAGAAGAAATGCCAGTGACTGTAAAGTCTTTGTTTCCAATTCCCAGCAGATATACTTTTTTTATCATTGATATTTTCTTTTGGAAAAATTGTAGAATTACCTATACCTTCAACTGGGCAGTTGTTTCCAGTTCTACAATTACAAGAAGTTATATATATATATATATATATATATATATACATCACCTACTCACTTTCATTTATTAGACATTGAATTGTATCACCTCATATCCATGAACTTGCCTGCCTTTCCATTAACCTGATAAATATTCATGAGAACTCCTATACCTAAAAATTTTGAAAAATGAATAACATTTTTGCTTTTGTATATAAATACTTGTCACAAAATGAAATCATGACATTTGCCTTGATAAAGTCCCTCAGAGGATGAAATGCATCAGTTAAGATAAGATTCTTTTTTTCTTTATTCATAAATAACTTCACTTACAACTTCAGATATAAAGTTAAAATATTGTATCAAGGTGATATCAAGGTGATGAGATATTTATCTTATAAGTGCATGAAAATAAGTAATAATTTTAGACTTTCACAAACTGTTATTAGTTCTAAAATTCATTTTTCATATAATTATTTAGAGGATGAATATAACAAACCAGACTGGAATTGGAACTTACTAATTAACCCATAGTTGTGGGGAGAAATGGTGGATTCATATCTTTCTGAAGGATATTTATGTGTAAATAATGAAGTTCGAGGTTCGATTGTATTGAACGGACTGGCATACGACCACTATACACCGGCGCGATCCCACTACTGCCTGACACGGGGTCTTTTGTCTGCTGCGTTTCCGCCCTGGACCGAGTCGCCCCTCCTTAGTCAACCTGGTCTGTTTGAGATCCCTCCAACTAACTTATGTGACAGCGGGGAGTGTAGTGAACGAGATAATCAAGTACCCCGGAAAAAAGTTCGTGTTTTGTGTGCGATCTGCTGGGGAGGGATTGCCAAAAAGAAAAGTAGTCAGCAAAACTCTTATAGCGACTTACCTCGTCAACCCAAGTGAAAAAGAAACAAGTTCGTCGCAGGAGTCGCTATAAGAGTGTATTAATATGCAAATTACGGAGCATCCTATCCCGGCTGTCGACGAATGGAAAAAATAGGTTCTGCTGATAAAAGCAGTTGGTGTTGTCGACTCGAGAGGAAAAATTTGGGCAGTTTTGGCTACGGCGTTCGTGAGTTATTTTCCTGACGTGTTACAAGTGATTCTCTTTCTTTGTGTTGTTAGCGGCAGTCTCTGGCAAAATGATTCGGCCCAGAGCACCGATAGCAGGTGGCAACGCCATGGTGACGAATGGCTGGGGTCGGACCTTCTTTGACTTCAATTGGTTGAATAACCACGGCCACTGGTTCATCAGCCTCTTTTTCATCGATCATGACAGCACGTGCTCTGGTCAACAATTGATTGAGCGTCAGGTCTTCCATTCTGGATGATGCGCGAGTATCTGCTTAACATGACTGGGCAATCCAGAAACGAAGGCACATGTCATCCATTCTTCAGGAAGCGGTGCGATTGGAACGGCGAGCTTCTTTAATTCTGCCAAATATACGTCTACTGTCTCGCCAGGTCGCAGACGCCGTGCCTGGAATTGGTCGTAGGCCACGAACCGGTCAGTTCCAAACGCGGTTAGTAGAGCGTGCTTTATTTGCTCACTGTCACTTTTCTGTTCTTTACTCAGCTGCCTATACACAGCAAGGGCAATCGCCATTCAATCGCAGAGGAAGAATCCGATCAATCTTCGATATCTCGCATAATTCGCAGACCAGTTCCACCTTTTCGATCCATTCAACCACAGACTGTCCACTAGTATCACCACTGAATTCGGGGATCAGTTTTATATCGAACGGTCTTTCCGCCATTTTGCGAGAGACAAAGTAAATGCCGAAATAGCTTGAAGAGTAAGCGTTCTCAAAGCAAATTTGTGGCTTTCACAACACAAAGAAAGAGAATCACTTGTAACACGTCAGGAAAATAACTCACGAACGCTGTAGCCAAAACTGCCCGAATTTTTCCTCTCGAGTCGACAACACCAACTGCTTTTATCAGCAGAACCTATTTTTCCATTCGTCGACAGCCGGGATAGGATGTCCGTAATTTGCATATTAATACACTCTTATAGCGACTCCTGCGACGAACTTGTTTCTTTTTTCGCTTGGGTTGACTAGGTAAGTCGCTATAAGAGTTTTGCTGACTACTTTTCTTTTTGGCAATCCCTCCCCGGCAGATCGCACACAAAACACGAACTTTTTTCCGGGGTACTTGATTATCTCGTTCACTACAAATAAATATAACAACCCTGACTGGAATTGGAACTTGGTTCTCCAAATTCCAGTTCTGAGCCATTATCCATTATACCATCCACACATACAAGCTTACAGCACCTGGTATTCCCAAGTGGTCACCCATCTAATTACGGACCAGGCTTCATGTTGCTTAACTTCAGTAATTGTATGAGAACTGGTGTTCAACATGATATGGCCATAAGCCTATCCTATGTAGGTCTTAACAATGTCTGTGTTTTCATTATCCTTTCCCTGTTCTGCTATCCATTTACACAAGCTCATTAGGTAGGTTACTCACTATTTCCCATCTGCTCTTTTTGCCTGTCCTGTGAGTGCTAAATTCTCCAAGCCCCATTTCCTCATTATGTGCTGTAGAAATTTCAACTTTCTCTTATTGCACCTGGTATTCCTATTCTGACATTGCTTAAGTTCAGTGAGTTTCAACATGATATGGCTGTAAGCTGGTAAACAGTAAGCAATATTTCAGACAGATTAAAAAAAAAACAATTTCAAGGGTTTTTAATATATTGTAAATAAATGACTGTCTTCTGATAAATGTCAGTTTGAATGCAATTGATGAACATTCTATACAAGAAAGAATATTCCCAGTTAGCATGCCCTCATTATAGGCATTATTATATCCATGATATTCTAACACCTTAATACATGTATGGAACAGAATAGCTGAAAGAAAGGAACGATAGACATGAATTATTCACAAAAATATTTATACTGATATATACATACTTATCACAAATTTGCCCCATACAGAGAAATTATAACATGTATACAACAAGCAGTTTAAAAGAGGAGAAGAGAGAGAGAGAGAGAGAGAGAGGGAGAGAGAGAGAGTCTTAGTTGTAATATTTTCCCACATGGAAAAAGGCCAGGTCTGTGGTGTTATATTTTTGGTGAGATCATGTTTTTCTGTTCACCCTACTGATGTGGGATTGTCATGTCTGTTTTCTTGGCAAGCACATCATATCTCCAGGTGTGATAAATAGGAATTGGCTTTATGTCACTCCATGAAGTGATGTCACTCACCAGCTGCAACACGATCCTTGTGACTTTGTCTCAATCAAAGGGAAATAATTGCCAAATGTAATGTGTCCCTAGTGTTTGAAACTTTTTATAGAAATGACACGGAGTTGCTGATCTTGAAGGTGTATCTCCATGTTTAATGCTAATAGTTATGTGATGAGATGTATAAAATGTATATTCAGAGGATAACACAGTTTATGTGCATTTCCAAAAATTAAATGTTTAAACTGGTGAACTGAAGGAATGAAGCTCATATAAATATTTGCTATGGAAATAGCAGAGAATAGTGATAGGCTTATGTTATGTTATATCTGTAGGAAAGCAGCTGAAGAATGAACAAGTCCAGTCACCCTAATTTCTTCCATAATCCATGGAAGAAGTTCCATTCAGATAGCTTTTTCCTAAGAACTGCTAATTTGTTGAACAGAATCCCATGTTTATGCTTCCCTGAACACTACAATTTTAACATCTTCAAATCAAGAGTCATCTATCCTCCTTATCCCTATAACGTTCACATTTGACAAGCTCCTCTTTCTTTCATATCATACTCCTTAATCATAACCATTTTAACAGTAATTATCTACCTTAAGTGGCTCACAATCTTTGTATCAGGTGAACTTTAGTATTAAAAAACTTATATTTCTGCTTTTTATGTAAAATTTCTCATATGGTTTTTGAAAGAAAATCTTAAATTCAAAGCCAAACCAGAATGTTTTGTTTTAATTAATTCATTTCAAGCAAGGGGATAATACCACTAAGATACAAGGGGCTACTGGGATTGAAAGAGAATGGAAAAAAAACTTAAGAAAGAAATGGAAACCCAATCCTAAACAGAAAAGAAGGAATAAACCTTTACTCCTGTTCAGAGGTGGGTGTGAATCAGACGATAGAAGAACCTACCTACTGCTACTGAGGAAAATAAATAAATAGTAAATAAAATTTCAATTGTTAGCACTATAGACTTGAATAGACTTTGGAAGGAGCCAGAAACCCAATCCTAAACAGAAATCAAAGGTTAAACCACTGCTCTGATTCAAAAGACTAGGGAGGAGTGTGAACCGGATGATAGGTGAACTTATCTATCATTGAAGAAATATTTTTTTCAAAATTTAAAAATAAGGAATAAATAAATAAATAGTAAATAAAATTATAGAATTTAGGCAGAGACATTAATAGGGTTTTTTTTAATGATCAGATTTTTATGATATTTTCTTACTTTATAGATAGTCACTCAAAAGTCATTTTTTTCAAGAGATTTATTAGCTTTATTAATGCAAGAATATGTTTGAAATAACTTCAGAGAATTAATATTGGCAATTTCTTGCTGCCACTTCTTTTACATATTTTTCTTTCTGCCAATGTTTTATATATAGGATAAAATGCATATGAGTTCATTACATGAAATCATTCATCCATGCATGCAATGATCAGTGTGGCATGTTTACCTATCAAAGCTAAAATTTTTAAATTATCAGCACACTTTATTAGATAATAACTGATCCCTTTTTGATAGAGTCCTATATTAAATTTTAATTGCATCAATAACATACTACTTAAATGTTGAACAAGAATAAATGATCAATGATTCTATAGAAATTAGGAAGCAGTAGTTATTTGAGCTTATTACTTCAACAAAGCTGCACAGAATTATAAAATATGAACACTCATATTGTGAAAGGATATGACATGTAGAGAGAGAAACAGTTGAAATTGAAAGATAAAGAAAGTGTCAGGTGTATGATACAGAAATTTTCTTTCTTTTTTGAAAAACAATTTATCTTGGAATGTTTCTTTGTCACAATTGGCCAACAGAAGCACATATATTTTGAAGAACTTGTAATTTATATATGTGTGTCTAAAAAGAAAGCAGGTTATGCTGCATGATAGACTGAATGTAATATGCCAAATAGATGAATTTAGGCCCATAGACAAATGCTTGCACACTGTGTGAAAAGCTGGCGTGTGTATGTTTGCATACTTTTCCATTTCTTATAGCTTCGCTTTTAAAAGCACTCAATGATCTTATTGTGCTTCATTGCTTTTTAAAGCCTATCAAATGCATCAACAGATAATAAGTCAGTTCAATGGAAATTTTTCAGTTATCTCCGAGCAGATTATTTTTGGATTTTTCTGCTTATTATTTTAGGCACTTAATCCAAAGTGAAGTATTGGGGTGTCAATTTATTCCACAGTCAGGGGAAACAAATATAAAATTAGCCATTGCAGAAGACATATTTTTGTTAAAAAAAATAATGATCTCCATCTTTTAAGGTGGATGAAAATTGAAACTGTTTACCATCCCTGTTCATGAACTAGTATCAGCCAAAAAATATACACATTCACCTTGTAAATTATTTTGACTAAAATTCTCATCTCTTCCTACAGTTTTGATTAGATTCAAGCCACCTGATGCTTCCGTCAATTTCAAATAATGTCAAAAACAAATATGCAATATTGTATGTGCATGTATGTATGAGGATATATATATATATATATATATATATATATATATATATATATATTCCTCACCAGTAGAAAAACTTTGAGTTTCATGCAAGCTGAAAAAAACAGGTGTAGAGTTTTCAATCTATGTCTCACGATTGCATTGTACATGAAACTCAGAGTTGTGCTACTGGTGAGGAAAAAAAGGAATATTTATTATTAATATAAATTATAGCTTTGTTATTATATATTCAGTACAGTTTTATTAGCATCAGAAATCATTGTGCACTTGATTTATATATATATATATATATATATATATATATATATATATATATATATATATATAAAAAAATGAGAACAAATGGAGTATAATTCCACAATTCCACTGTACATAAAAGTTTTTTTTTTGTATATATATATATATATATATATATATATATACATACATACATACATACATACATACATACATATATATATATATATATATATATATATATATACATACATACATACATACATATATATATATATATATATATATATATATATATATATATATATATATATATATATATTTATATATATATATATATATATATATATATATATATATATATAAAAGGATAACTTTTCTATACCAATGTGTTTCATCCCATGAGGGACTTTATTAGATACAGTTCCACAGAGGACAAAATGTTTTCTGTTTCTCTTTATTCATATTGTCCTTTACAGATATATCTTATTTATATCTGAATTTTTACACATGTGCACACACAAACACACACATACACACACACACTCATTATGTAGTCATTGTTACCATTGCAGGCATTTTTTTTAATAAGAGTTATTCATCTCAAGTCAACATGAAAAGACGATAGACATAAGACTAATTAGTCTTATGTCTATCGTCTTTTCATGTTGACTTGGATATCATCTAATTTTAATTATGTTTTAATAACTATGTCCTGAAGAAGGTCTACTAGACCGAAACCTCTGACGTTGACATTGAAAAAACATTAAAACAGTATACTTGCATATTCGGATTTTTGTTTTTCCATATTTTCTTCATACTGTCGGATCTATATCCACATATTTGCTTATATATATATATATATATATATAATTTTGTGACCTAATTATAATGAAATCATTCAATTAACACAACAAATATTTACTTTTCAACATAACCTTGAAATATATATATATATAATTTTGTGACCTAATTATAATGAAATCATTCAATTAACACAACAAATATTTACTTTTCAACATAACCTCCTTCTCTATCAATGCACTTTATTCAATGGTGAATACACATTTAAAAATTAATCTAGTAACTATGTGACAAGCTGCAGACACATTGAGCCACCCTTATAGATAGTTAAATTAGTATTTAATCTAAAGAAATAGTTAATCACATATTGGTATAATGCCGGTCAATTGTATTTTACTGAGTTAAAATAGTGCAATTATTGTCTAAGGAATCTAGCAATATTTTTTTAGTTTTAAACAAATTTTTAATCCTTAGATTTTCCTGAAAGTATCAATTAAGTCAGAAGCTTGGAAAATAAAGCAAATAATAACCTGCCTTTTTGATAGAAATACAAATTTAGAAAATTAGTAATGAAACACATCAAATAATATTACCTCAGAAAATAAAATGATGTAGAAAATATAGCCAATCTCTAAAGAATTAATAGATTTACATTT